TAAAATATTAATAAATTATTTTCCAGTTCATTTTCCATAACATAACCAAACACTGGAAAGTGTTTTCCAGTTCATTTTCCATAACACTACCAAACATTGGAAAATACTTTACTTTTCATGAATTCATTTTCTCCGGAATTCATTTTCCCCGGAATTCACTTTCCCCGGAATTCATTTTCCAAAAGGAAACAACTTTCCTGCAAACAAACGGGGCCTAACTCTAAAAAAAAATATTTTTCCTTTTTTTAAAAATAAAACTTTAACTAAATTTACATAAGTTAACTCCGATTTTTAATAAGGTCTTTTGAGGTTTTTTTTCTTTCTATTAATTTTTATTCAATCTAGTTCTTTCATCAACCCACCGCGAGACTAATTCAAGTTTTAAAATAATAATAAATTTAAAATACTATAAGATTTTAAAAGTCATTTAATATTTTAAATAAATCTTAATTTTTTTAAACAATATATTATTGACACTTAATAATATTATTGACAGGGAAGAAAAAAGAAATTATGAATAGTTTATTATACATGTAGCAAGTTTACTATTTTAAAATAAAAAATAATATTTAAATAATGATAATATTTTTAAAAGAAAATATATTTTGATACCCAAGTTATTTAGGGTAAATTTACATTGCATATCTAAAAATTTTAATTTTTTGGTTTAAAATATTTTTTTTATATTTTTAGATTATGTGATTATGTCAAAAATAATTTTTAAAAATAAAAAAAATTATTTTAATATATTTTTAAATTAAAAATACTTCAAACTATAACCGTATCAAAATCCTAAACATGCTTATATTTGAATAAATAAGACTGTAACTAGTATTTTTACAGAATACATGATGTAAAAAAAAATAACATTAGGCGATAATTGAAGGCTTTGAGCTTTCACAATTATAAGACAATATTGCAGAATACATGATAACACCAGCGTGGGTTTAACTCCAGAGTGTTCGTAACTTCATACAACAATTGCTTTCATGTGTTTTATTGATTCCTTCATGATCACTTTTTTGGGCAACGCAAAGTAGCCTAAGGCTGGCCAAGAAGAGAAGGCCTGTAGAAAGCATGGCTTTGAGCAATCTCAATGCGTTCGCGGGGGTCGTTCAATGTTTCGTCCCTCAGCGCTTGCAGAATAGCTTGTGATGATTGCTCCCTGAATATCCAAATATCAACCACAAGCGGGAGATTAAACTAAGAAGAAGAAGAAAAGATATTGTACAAAAAGGTTTTTATCGGCAAAACATGTAGCTCTGGTCAAGGAATGAGATTTTCTACAATCGTCCAGAATTCATGTAAAATAAATACAATGAGGAAGCAAGATTCAAGAGACTGCCAACCATGGCTTGAAACATACAATCTCTGCAGGCCTTGTGAGCTGAAATTTTTTTAAAACCTGTCAAACTTGTTGTGTTCAATTATGTAGTTGTGCTGTAGTATGAGATTACCTTATTATCAGTATTTTATACAACGTTTTTAAGATGGGACAGAGCTCAACGGGAGCAACAGGCTTCTTTTCATCAGGGTGTAACACGCTCAAGCTTGACTGACTCAGGAGTTCATAGAATGCTCCAACTGCTGAAACACCCTGCAATGAGAAAATCATTACAGACTTGGAATTGTTAGACCCAGCTAGCTTGGGATTGAGGAAAAGAAAATCTCTCAAATCAAGCTAGGGATGTTATATTGGCGTCCCTTTACTACAAATCCATGGCATCAGTACTCCAATCCTGAGCTAGCTCAGAAAAGCCATCAAGTGCATAGATTTCGATTTTTAACCTAAGGTCATTCGTAGTTGTACATTTAACTGATAGAGCCACAGATAAGACCACCAATTCAAGTTACCTCTAAAGTTAAAGTGTCAAAATAAACATCAGTACCTGAATCATTCCTTTCCCACTGATGCTATCACCCATATCCCGGCTTATTTCCCCTTTGGCTAACATTTGTCCATACCATGCATTACGACCCTTTAACAAGGTTACATATGTGTCCGCCAGCAAAGGCCCTGCAAGCTTCTCAGGTTCTTCAGCCAATAGATGAGTAATAAATATCATCTCTGATGTACAATGTGCAAAGTAGACTGACTTGCTGGTAGCGCTTTCATTAGTAAGGGCTGCTACCATTCCTGAGAAAAATCAAATTGGGAAAGTGAGTTTGCAGATTCAAAGCAAAAATTAAATGTTATAAGCATATATCGTTCATTTTGCTTATTGTTTGTAATAATGTGAAGCTATACAGGATGGTGTTCGGCTTCATGCTCAACAACAATTCACAATGGCTGAATCAATACATCACTGTCATGTGGATTAAGACTTAAGCTCCCAGTTTCTGATAGCCCGAAATTTCAAAGAAGAAAATTATCAATAACTAGTGCCTTCAACAATGCCTTAAAGGCACGTAAATACAATTAATGCCATTTCACAGAGCGCGCATCGTGCTTCTTATAGAGTTCTTTACAGCTCTGTTTTACAGAATTATTTATGATTGCAAGCTACGCTTCAGTAATATCACACTTGATTCAGCGCATTCATCAATTATAAATTTATTGGTAGAATTGCAGAGTTATGCTGTGACATTGAGGAATGTCCCAAGCCATTCTGTAAAAAAACAATAATTATAATTATAATTACTTTAGGGAATAAATTACACAATCACGTCATTAATCATGTTTTCCTACCCTAGATAACTAGAAATAGTGACCAGGGAAGAACTAGTTAACGTCTGGGGTCTGGCCACGCATCTAAAAGAGTTATTGGTTGCATAGAAATGCTGTTCAAAAACAATTTTGAGAAAGAAGAAAGTGAAAACTCACCAGCTCCAATGGCATAGACATTCTTCAGGCCACCCATGACTTCATGAGTGACAAGGTCACTGTTGTCCCATACAATGAAATGGGGCTGCCTCAAAAACTTAGCAAGAGGCTTTCTCCACTTGTCAGCTCCACATATTCGAGCATTAGCATATTCCTTGTTGTATATTTCTGAAGCAATATTTGGTCCACCAAGATAAAGTATATTTTCCATTGGCACTCCAGCTGCCAAGCATCAACCACATAAAATGAGGGGAAAGTTTCCTGAAGTAGAGAAAATATTGACGGACAAGGATGAAAATGTAGGTTGGACAGAAGAATACAGAAAATCACTCAAATCTCATACTATGTGGACTTGAATTAGAATCATTATCAAATGATAGAGGGATTGTATGTCATACAAATGGATGGGAGGGACACTTGCATTTGAATAGAACTTGTGCTTAACAGCGAAAGCCAGGAGATGGCGATAGTTTGACAACAAAATTGTCATTGTTCGGTTGAGTATAAGTCGAATAGACACAAAAAGAAACGTAGAGGAAATCTGGCCTTGTAGTAATTATGAATAAGAAAGCAATTAAAATTTTGTGTTTAAGCATTCTGATCCTGTTCTGTGTGCTTGGGGAGTCAGATAAGAGAATGCTTACTCGCTCTGTTAATCATTTGCGTAGGGGTGATTATTCGAGGAACAGGTTTTAATGCAGCTTCTATACCCTTTGCCAAGGAGATGATGATAGGTGCTGTGATTCTCTCCTTCCAATATTGACTGATCTCTTCGAACATCTCACGTGTCTCCGTGGAAGGCAAGCCATTTACCACAATATCAGCATCCCAAACAGCCTCTTGCAAGTTGGTCACAACCTTCAAAGGACAAAGTGGTGTGTCAATCATGTTCAAGCAAAATCCATCTTTCAAAATCTCATCCGCAAAAAGAGTCCGGTCGCCTAGCCTGGCCTCAACGTACTTCAAATACGCACATCGCCAGATCAACCTCCTCAATACATCCTCTCTTGAATTGATCACTTCAAAGAGATGTTCTGCCGTGGCTCTATCAACAGGTCTTCCAGGCCTTCTCCATATCCTGATTTGGACCTTCTCTCGGAACCGACCATAACTATCCTGCAGCAAAGCTGCAAAAACACTTCCCCAAGCACCTGCCCCAACACCAACAATTCTCAATGGATCACCATCAGCCTTGCCGAGAAGGCTTCGAAGCTCATCAAGCTTCTCTTCTAGACCACATCCATTGTTATGATGATTCACTGCCTTAATGCTTCCAACCATCTTCTTCCCGCAACAACAAATCAACAAGATCAAAACCTGTCAGAAAAAGGTCTAATGGGTATCAATATTGCAATTTAATCAACTATACCAAATTCTAAAATCAACCCAACTTTGATCTTTATATGGACTGTGATCTTACAACTCCAAACTTGTCAAATCTTTCCTAGAAAAAACAAAATCCTAATTCCCAAGTCGGCACCTTGCCATGAAACAATGAAATCTTTATTGGTAGATCTTATCACCAAAACCAAAACTAATTCTCATCCCTCT